TGGGGGGAAGGTCAAGTTACAAAAGAATAAATGACACAATGATAAATAAATTTCACAAAAAGCCATAAATATCAGGAAACAAAAATTTCTAACATCCAGCATTGTTCTGACCTGTTTTTCAAGAGATGCGCATTTAGCTTCAAGTGATCGTACTGTCTGTAGAGAGGAAAAAGAGACAAGGCAGTTGCATTTCAACTATACCAAAACAAAAGGCACTTCAGGATTTGTGAATAATCTGAGCATAACAAAAGATTCACCTTCTGAAGCTCTCCATCGATGGCAACAATTCGTGTAGCATAAAGTAGCCGAATGTCTTTCATCCGACAGTTCTTTTTACATTGAGGACACTAAAACAAAAGATATCAACAAGAAATTAAAAAATTACGGGCACTGCTATGAAAACTGACAATAATTCACATGAATTTCAGCTCCAATAACTAAAAGTACCTTGCTTGAGCCTCGACGAGCCAACCATTTCCGGATACAAGATAACCCATATATGTGCCCACAAGGCAAACAACTCAATAGTCCAAAAAGGTAAGACAATAAATCAGACTGGATTAACAAAATAACTTCATAAACAAATTCAAATTAGGAAAAAAGGGGAAAAGAAACAGAGTGCTTACCATATATGGTGATCACCACCAGAGGACCAAGCCTCAAAGCAGATAGGGCAACATAGTCCATCCACTTCACCTCCATTGAACTCTCCGAACTCTCCGCCGTCCTCGCCCATCAATGACGCCGTTCCACCCGCTTTACCATCACTACTGTACCTTCCCTTCTTGCTGCCTCTTTCAGGCCCACCCTCCGCCGTGGCATCGCCGCCATTCTCAGGAACCCCACCACCGTCAATAATCACAACTTCTTCGGACGACGTCATCCCCCTTGCGAAATTGATACCGTCACCGTTGTCATCTTGTTCTTGTTCCTCCTCCTCCTCCTCTTCTTCTTCTTCTTCGTCTTCATCATCATCATCGTCATCGTCATCGTCATCGTCGTCGACATCATCATCATCTTGTTGTTCTTCTAGGTAATCCTCGTCGTCGCCTTCTTCAAAGAAATGTGGAGGCACTTCAATTCCTTCGTTTTGTAAATGAAGCAACATAATATCCCAGACGTTGGGATCCATGTGGCTGATCTTATCTGGTTCACAATATGTGGATGCTCAAATGGAATTTAGGGTTTTAGGTCTGGACATTTTCAAGAATTATTTAGCTTGGGAAATTTATGTTAACGAATAAAACGAGAAGGAAGCTATGTGAATTGTGACATGACCTGCCCAAAAATTATGCTACTTTTTGACATAATTTTTGACACAATTAATGACATAAACGACAAGGAAGTGAACGAATTTTTATTTATTTATTTTTTTTTTATAAAAGAAATGCGACAAAGCTTATATCACAGTTATGACAAGATCATTCGAGGATAAGACACTTCGGTAATATCGTGTTGTAACCATAAGCTCGCCCCAGGAGGAGGACGCTCCAGTCTATGCAACCCACCTGGTCCCTTAGTCGCCAAAGACGCCAAGTAGTACGCCACAAAGTTGGCTTCCGTTGCGCCACTTTGATGAATCTGCAACTCAACAACTCTCAAGCGTCTTGATGTCTTCTCTGATTGACCATCGATTTGTTGCATTGGTACGGGGTCTTCTGCGGCAAGCACGGGGACATCCGAAACAACACGCACGCATGTAGGAGGACGACCAGACGACTGTGGCACGACTCGCTGTGACCCGACACGTGGCAACACAGCACGCTGCGCACGAGACACTGCTACGCGGCATGCTAGTGACCTCTACAGCGAACACGGCACGCCTGTGCATGGCACCTGCGTACAGTACAGTATACCTGTGACACCTACGTCGCCTACAGTCACACACATGAGTTGCACCCGCGTCACCTGCGACAGCCTCGCTGCAATTACGACGTCATATTGCGATCTTCTACTCCCTTTGATTAAAAGCTCTTGTTGCAACCTACACACAGCCCAACCCCTGCTTGGGGCATCGCTGTAAATGGTGAAACTCCAAATAGGATTAGGTTCAGTCAGTCGTAGATATGGTTGACATCTTTGCCTTAAGCTTTAGGAAACTCTCCTCCCATTGATACGTCGCTCGAACTTCGTAGTCTTCTATGTCAAACGCGGCAAGGTAGGGCAATCTTCTAAAACTCCATGATGAATCTTTTGAACGCTGTCTTTGACACATCGGGCTCCTTGATCTTCAGTTGATGGCGTCCATTCTTTTCGTCGATCTTGAAAACCGTGTTGGCTCCTTCTTAGTGCTTTAGGTTTTGGCCACCAAGAATTCTTGCCGATCTCTCTTTATTAGGTTCTTGTTCAGCTTTCCTTCTCGGTCGAGATAACTCGCGGTACTATCTATGCTTTTATCTCATAAAATGATATCTTTTTATCTTTTCTTCTCCTAACCCATCGATTTCAATTGTTGTTGTCTCTGCCGAGTATTGGTACCTTATTCTAGTTTGTTCTAGTTTATTGTTTAGGGTGCTTTGTTAGCATTCCTCCCCAAATCCAACTCGGCTCTTATTATAAAATTCTTATTTGATCTATCATTTTGTTAAAAAAAAAAATCTATAGTCATGAGAAATTAATTAGAAAAATGATTATAATATAAAATGGGTAAATTGTACAAGTGAAATCTATTATTTTAAATATAAATAATTTTAGCTAATACCATGTAATTTACTAATGTTGTATTAGTGTTAGCAATAATGTTCCCCTACCTACAGTGGACACATGTTAATATGCCCACCGCTTATGTAGCATGCACACATTGGTGATGTTAATATGTTAAAAAAAATACATCACCAATGTGTGCATGCCACATAAACAGTGGACATATTAACATATGTCCATCGTGAGTAGGGGAGAGTTACTCGTTAGTGTTATTGTTGAAGTAAATTAGGTTCATTGACGATAAAATCTTCGCAATGTCCATCAACCTGCACCAGAAACTAGAATTGAAGATATAAGTACTATAGTTTTAAAATAAAAATTACCATCATTTATACTAAATTTTAGTTTTATAATAACACTATAGCACGAGGAAAAAACAAGAGCATTAACGAAATGCCATTTTTTTTAATAAAAAAAAAATGACACTTCTATGTAAAGGAACACTATCTTTTTCTTTTTAACTATTAAAAAAATATGAGGTTGTTATGAAATGCAAGCAATATAAAGAACACAATGTATAAAAACCGGAACAAATTTAAGTTGTTTTCTTTTCACTCTTCCGCTCACTCAATCATGTGTACAAAAATGTACTACAATTGTTGCCTTTTTATAGGCAAATATGGCACACTTACCAATGTACATACTAATATAATAATGTTAGGATAATATTTATTGGTAAATTCCAATAATCATAACACTCCCCCTTGGAATTACCAATATTAAATGTGCGTTTATGCTGCCTCGTTAAAAACCTTATCTGGAAAAACCCTGTGGGAAAAAACCAAGATAAGGAAAAAAGAGTACAGCCGCACATACTCCCCCTCGAGTTATCATCTGTACAAATCCCGAAGATGTCGCATTCCAATGTTATGTACGTGCTTTCGAAACATTGTCGTCGGGAGCGCCTTCGTAAACAAATCAGCTGCATTATCGCTTGATCGAATGTATTGAACTTTGATTTGTTTATTTCTTTCAAGCTCTTGCGCATATGAGAAGAACTTTGGCGGGATATGTTTAGTTCTGTCACTCTTAATGTATCCTTCTTTGGTTTGAGCGACACATGCTGCATTGTCTTCGAATATCACCGTCAGGTCATTATTGTTCGATAGTCCACTGGCTTGTTGAATATGTTGAGTCATGTTTCTGAGCCAGATACTTTCCCTACTTGCTTCATGAAGTGCAATGATCTCAGCATGGTTTGAAGACGTCGCAACTAACGTTTGTTTCTGAGAACGCCAAGAGAATGCAGTTCCGCCAATCGTAAAAACGTATCCAGTTTGAGATCTTGCTTTATGGGGATCTGAGAGATATCCTGCATCTACAAAACCAATTATTTCATGTTTTTTATCGTTAGAGTAAAACAGTCCCAAATCGATTGTCCCTTGGAGATAACGGAATATATGCTTAATTCCATTCCAATGTCTCCTCGTAGGTGCCGAGTTATATCTTGCTAATAAATTGGTAGCGAAAGATATATCTGGTCTGGTACAATTAGCAAGATACATAAGAGCTCCTATGGCACTCATATATGGTATTTCAGGACCAAGTATTTCTTCATCTTCTTCACAAGGTCGAAACGGATCCTTTTCAACATCTAATGTTCGATTGACCATTGGAGTACTAAGTGGATTCGCCTTGTCCATATTGAATCGTTTCAGTATTCTTTTAGTGTAATTAGATTGATGGACAAATATCCCATTTTGGACCCGTTCTATTTGCAAGCCGAGAAAATATTTGGTCTGTCCGAGATCTTTCATTTCAAATTCGCCTTTTAGTAAAGTGACTGCTTCTTGAATTTCATTTGTAATCCCAATAATATTAAGATCATCGACATAGACAGCAATTATCACAACTCCATCTTGTGATCTTTTTATAAAAACACACGGGCATATTTGATTATTTATGTAACCCCGTTTAAGCAATTGTTCACTTAAACAATTGTACCACATACGCCCGGATTGTTTCAAGCCATACAATGATCTTTGCAGTTTTATCGCACATAACTCTTTAGGTTTGGACTTTAGTGCTTCGGGCATTCTAATTCCTTCTGGAATTTTCATATAAATGTCAGCGTCTAGTGACCCATATAAGTAAGCAGTCACAACGTCCATAAGACGCATCTCAAGATTTGCATGAATGGTCAAACTAATCAAGTATCTGAAAGTAATTGCATCCATAACAGGGGAATATGTTTCATCATAATCAATCCCAGGCCTCTGGGAGAATCCCTGTGCTACAAGGCGAGCTTTATATCTTGTGATCTCATTTTTCTCATTTCTTTTTCTGACAAAAACCCATCTGTACCCAATAGGTTTTATGTCTTTGGGTATAATGGTTATAGGTCCAAAAACCTTTCGTTTATTAAGCGAATTTAACTCGGCTTGAATAGCACCTTTCCACTTGTCCCAATCATGTCTTTTCTGACATTCAATCATAGATTTTGGTTCAGGATCCTCAACTTCTTTGTCAATTTCTTGTGATAGCATATATGCGAACGCATCATCAATGATCTCATCACGCTTCCAAAGTTTCCCATTATTTACATAATTGATGGAGATTTCAATATTTTCATTTCGTTCCGAAATTTTTCCATCATCTTGATTCTTTTTCAAATTCGAATCTTGAATTTCTCTTTTCTTTCGATGGTTCTTATCTTTAGACCCCACTGGCCTTCCTCTTTTCAAGCGTGCCTTTAATTCATTTGGCACATTGTCATTTGACATTTCTTTTGTAATCTCAATTCGAGCAGGGGCATTTATAGCTGCAACATGTGATTTTGTCACCCTTTTTGTGTCAGTAAATGTATCTGGCAATTGATTTGCAATATTCTGCAAATGTATAATCTTTTGAATTTTTTGCTCTCTTTGTTTGGTGGGAGGATCAAGATATGATAGTGATGATGTTCTCCATTCAATATTTTTCTCAATTGACTTTTCATTCCCACCTAAAGGGGGAAATAATTTTTCATTAAAATGACAATCATCAAACCGAGCTGTAAAAACATCACCTGTTTTTGGCTCAAGGTATTTTATTATTGATGGAGATTCATATCCAACATATATTCTCAACCTTCTTTGAGGCCCCATTTTCGTACGTTGGGGCGGAGCAATTGATACATACACCGCACAACCAAAAATTCTTATATGAGCAATATTTGGTTCTCGACCATATGCCAACTGTAATGGCGAGTATGTATGGTGTGCACTTGGTCTTATGCGAATTAGATTATCTGCATGCAGAATAGCATGTCCCCATACTGAAGTGGGCAGTTTTGTCCTCTGATATGGCCATACTGTCGTGCATCGGTTCAGTAACCGCGGCATTGCCGCGATTGGCTCACAACGGTTCATATCGTCACGGTTTGAGATTACTGAGTCGACTTCAGCAAAGTCGACTCTATTAGTAAGGTTCCACGATACTCAGTCAAGAGGCCCGGTTCTCGACCGAGTCAATGTACACCTGTCGACTAGAGTAAGTCGACTTCTGGTAAGACAATGGTCAGACGTATTAGGGTCTACTAACAGTTGAGTGCGATCCAGTCGACTCGACATAATGTCTCAGGTCGACTGAGGAAGTTGTAGCTTGTGGTGCCCGATAGCTTTGACACACCTCAGCATATTGAGGAAGAATTAAGGATAAGAAGGAAGCTCAGGAAGGATCTAGATGCTGACTAGGAAGTAGGCGGAATATGAACCGACCGGGGTATTTTGGACATTTCCCTTAAGTCGGCCGGGGCATTTCGGGGACTTCAGGTATATATTGTACTCCTATATAAAGGACTGAGGTAATCCCAAAACCCTAACTCCCATTCATTCCATACATTTCTATTACTGCTGCTGCTCTCATAGCAGCCCCCATCATCTCTCTCACATACTGACTTGAGCGTCGGAGGCTCTACGCCGGAAAAACCCTCCGGTGTTGAGTTCTTGCAGGTGTTCGTGCGGTTCAGCAACGGCTCGAAGGTCATCAGGCCAGATCTAAGCTCATTCATACCGGTTCATCCCAGATCCGGACGTTCTCTTACCAAACCGTTCCAGATCTGAGAGCAGACCCATCATCCTCATTATCAATGGTCTGGCTATAAGCTGCAATCGTTTAATCAATGATTCTGCTAGACCATTTTGAGTGTGAACATGTGCTACAGGATGTTCAACATCAATTCCCACTGCCATACAATAATCATTAAATGCTTGAGATGTAAATTCTCCAGCATTGTCCAGTCTGACCCTTTTTATAATATAATCTGGGAATTGAGCCCTTAATTTGATAAGTTGGGCAAGCAATTTAGCAAATGCCACATTTCTAGTGGATAACAAACTCACGTGAGACCATCTACTAGAAGCATCAATTCACCATAAAATATCTGAATGGACCACAAGGTGGGTGAATGGGTCCACATATATCACCATGAATCCTTTCTAAAAATAATGGCGATTCATGCCCGACTTTAGTATGTGATGGTCTTATTATCAATTTCCCTTGAGAACATGAGGCACATGTCAATTCATGTGTTTGCAATATCCTCTGATTTTTTAACGGATGTCCACTAGAATTTTCAATAATTCTTCGCATCATTATCGAGCCAGGATGACCAAGTCTATCATGCCAAAGTTTAAACATTTCATTCGTGTGTGACTTTGTTGCAGCATAAGTCTCAATAATATAAATGCGGGTGTAATATAAGCCCGATGATAAAGCTGGCAATTTCTCCAAAACACATTTATTTCCCGCAACATTTGAGGTAATGCAAAGATATTCAACTCCCCCTTCATTCATTGTTTCAACATGGTATCCGTTCATTCGGATATCTTTAAAACTCAACAAGTTTCTTGTTGATTTCGGGGAGAATAATGCATCATTCAATGTAAACTTTGTACCTCCCATCATAAAAAATATGGCTTTTCCAGAACCCTCAATTATCTTTGCATTTCCAGATATTGTGTTTACTTTTGCTTTATTTAATTTCAAGTTGACAAAATATTTTCCGTCCTTGAATATAGTATGAGTTGTGGCACAATCTGCAAGACATTTATCTCCATTTTGAATTCGAGACCGATCCATGATCTAAAAGAAAACAACATTATTATTGATCAAATTTGAAATACAGATACAACTAGTACAAATACGCAAATACAACAAAAAAAACTTAGAAAGCAATAAAAGAAACAGTATAATCAGTTGTTCTCTTGGTCATTTCCAGCTCTTTCTTCAAATACCGCATCAGCAAAATCCAGGTTCAACATGTCATCGATGCCATAGTCATCATCTACATTATTTTCAGAGGA